GGGAGGACGCGGATCTGCTGCTGACTCCCACCCCGCTCCCACCCCCTGGGGTATTTTTCCTCTCTAAATGCCGCGTGTTTTAGGTGTTTGTTTACAATTTGAAGTGTCAGGGTTTTTTCTTCCCTGCTCACGTTTCCAGTGCAGAAGGTGGCGGGGAGGCTGAGGCAGAGGAGACCCAGGACGAAGCCGCTGAGCCCTCGGTGAGCGCCTGGCGCTGCCGCTTTGCGCTCGCACCGGCCGTTCAGGCTGCATTTCTGCCCAGTAATTTGGGGCCCTGCCTGCTTCCTTCCCTGGAAAATAAACGGAGAGGGCCCGAGAGCAGCGGGCTCGGGTGCCTCGTGGTCCAGGTCTCTGGTGCTTCAGAAATGAAGCCCAAGGGTCCTGCCAAGAGGGTAGCTCTGCCTGATGGGAGGAACGTCACCGGCGCGGAGCTCCGAGCGGGGCCGGCGGTGCAGGAGGGCACAAGCAGCCGGATCCGATCCAGGACTGCACAGGCAGGGGACGGTTGTGCGCAGCGCGGGGTGCCCCAGCGGCTGCCGCACCGGTACCAAGGGAGCAGCAGGGCCTTAGTGCCGCTGACCTGCTCACCACTGCGCCGAGGGGCGAAGCGGGTCACACCGAGCGGGATTTGGTGGGAATTCCGCACACACGCATCGTGAAATCACATTTATTGGTGCATTTCCAATGGGCAGCAGATGGTGGCGGGGTCGGTGCGTGGGGGCCGGCTCCGACGGGCGCCACGGGAGCTGTGCACACATTTACCCGGACTTCTTCGCTCGGAGCCGGGCGCACTCAGAGCGCCGCGTCGGTCCCACAGCGCGCAGGCTGCAGCCGGGTGACGCCCGGGCCTTGCCACTCGGAGTCGGAGCGCCCAGCAGAGCTTGTTAGTGTTAGTTAGAAGTAGAGAAACGAAACCCAACATCCTCCCAGCAGCATTCCGTGTGCGCGGAGCCTCTCCACCCCTCCAGCCGGGTGCAGCTCTCACTCCCTTGACCTGTTTTGCTTTCCAAAGCTTTTCTCTTCCCTTCTCTCTTCTTTTCCCAAGTCCCGTTCCCTGCTCGCTCCCAGCTGTCTGTGATCCTTCTCCCGTTCCCGCTGCTCTGCCCGTACCCGTTACGATCCCTTGCAGACCAGCAGGGAGCGGAGCCCACGCGGTGCCGCCCGGTGCCCGGGCCGGTCCGTGCGCAGCCCTGCGGGGCCGGGGCCGGGC